CATGCCCTCAACAAGCAATTGTACATTTTTTAGGGCAACTGAATCTGTTCTCACCCGGGGATTGAAAGGCACATGCTGGCAGAAGGTGCCTCCAGGAGAGAGAGAGGGTTGGGTTCCCTGCGTACCAACAGTCCGGTTTTGGCACACAGCCATGTCCCCAAGTCGCTTCCAATATTTGCCTGGGGGCCAGCGACGTGGGCTAAGGGGCACTTTGGCAATGTTCTGCCGCTAGCATGTTGCCTTTTGCAGGGCTTTTTCCAGAATGCATCAAGCCTAGTTCTTGCAGCAGGCTAGCTACGCTTCAGTGAGAAACATCACAATAGTTGGTCATGTTGTGTTACAGTGTTGCTCAGAATCATTCCTCAATCCTTCTGCCAGATGGTAGTGGTTCCCTTGTTATAATGGTCCCCACTACGGATTGCGGATTAAGATTAGGGATCCGCTCAGTTTAAACGACCCAGTTTGAGCACCTCTTTGCTTTGAAGGAGCTGCCAAGCACGACATCTCGTTGACCACTGTGCCGGATCTCATCAAGGAAGGCCGGAGCTTTCAGGGATGAGCCGGGGGATGGCCGTTTTACGACGGACCGCAAACGAGCAAATTGGAGGTTTCCACGAGCTGGGAAGCTAGCTCGGGGTCTTCAAAGGGCAGCTCAAACACCTTTTGGACATCTGGGTGATGGTGAATGAAGTGAACATACCACTCATGTCCCAGGTTTCGGGACTTGTTGCTTGAAAGATCAGTTGGTGGCATTTTGGGATCCACTCAGGAAGTAAGGACCCCCGAGCAGTAGTCAGAAGCCTCTTGAGTTGCATATTTGGGAGAATTGTGCTTGCTGTTCGATTTCAAAATCCAAAGATGCAGTTTTCCGCAGATCGTTTTGTGTTTTTGTTGTAGGACTGTTTGCGACATGCCATGTTTTACCCACTTACAGAGCTACGTAGGAGGGCTGTGTTGTAATGGATTTTGGTTTGCTGGTGGCTTTGGGGGCTTTTGCTGCTTCCCCGGCGCTTCCCGGCAGTTCCTGGCTTTTGGAAAGCCATCCCCAATACAACCTTAAACCACCTAAACTCATCTTAGTCCCGGCCAAAGCCTGCCCTGCCTAGGCTGCAGTCTCTGATCCAGTCGATGTCAAGGTGAGCAGACAGTGGCTGGAAGTAGAGTTTGCTTAGCTGATGCTGCGACGCTCAATGAGGGGAGTGCTCACGTGACGAGTTCAAGGCGGATTTATTTGTCTCCTCGAAACCGAAGCGGCAGCCTCCGGCCTGAAGTTGCAAGAGTTGCAAAGCTGACTGGCGGATTCCGAAAGCACCGGCTTGAATGTGACAAATGTTCCCCAAACTCACCCTAAGCCCATCCGATCCACCCAACCCAAAACCAACCCTCCCAGCCCTAAATCCGCACCGGATCCTCAGCCCACCGTATGCGAATGTGATGCTTGTGGCCTTGATTATTTTTTCAGCTCAGAGTGCCCTCAGAGTTGCTGGAACGTGCTGCGATTCAAGATGTGTGCTTTCCAGCCTTAAACGACGACATCAATTCCTGCAACAACACACAGCACAAAGGAGGGCCCATCAAACATCGCACTTCCCCCCCTTCCCCCCCTCCCCCATCCCGGTCTGATGTTTTTGATCGCGACAGGGCGCGCGTGCTTGGCGACGAACATGGCCACCTTCACCTACTTCATGGTCTACGCCTTCCTGCTCACCACGGCGGGGTTCAGGGAGACGAGAGGGAGAGGGGGAGGCATGCAACTCAAAAACTGGCAGGTCCAGGGAAAGGCAATCCTAAACTGCGTCCTCTTAGGTCTGACAGGCTGAACTTAGCTGGATCACGCCGGTTTCCATTTCTCTCCGGTGCTGCCTATACATGTTCCAAAATACCTGGGGAGCAGCACCCCGTAACATCATCACTAAAAAAGTGACGGGATAACGGGTGCGTCTCTAACCGGAGGGTTGTGGTCGGCGGTCCCCTTGCTTCTATTCTAAAACCACCATAAAAGCGGAAACGGCTCAAGGAGGACGAAGACCAAAGGATGTTAAGCACCACTCCATGGGCACCAAGAAAGTTTCTTTCCTCTTTGTGACCCTTCAGAAAGCCATCCAAATGGGATCCCCAATTTTGAGTTCTTTTCTTTCGGCAGAAAACAAATGCGCGTGTTGTCTTGGAAGGGCAGCCAAGAGCACGTGGCATAGCGTGGGGTCAGCCTTTGTCCCATGCCCATCGAGGAGCACTTTTCTCTCGGTTGGGGGTCCCGCTCTCCAACGAATTGGTTCCTTCTTGCATCAGAGGACAATGACGTGTGCAGCATCCCAGAACCCACTCATGCAAATGTCAAACCCACAAAAACAAACAGGCACAGGCTCTGTCCGTGTTTTGTCGACACCGCTAAGTATCCTCTTTCCGGCAGGTCCCCCGAAAGGAATGTTTTATTTTGTTCAAAACGCCTTCCTGTCAGCTTCCATTGATTGGAGGGAGGGTATAGTGAGAAATGGCAACATTCTGCCAGAGGTCCGGACCTTCTTCATTGTCTTGCACAACCTGAGCTTGGGTGAGTCCGGCGCCTCGGGGGAGTTCGGGGATCAGTTCTTTAGCCCCGAAAAGGGGGGGATCCACTTGGACAAACTACAGCGAGCCCACCTGGCGGAGCAGATCCGTCGGTTGGCAAGTACCAACTAGACCCCCTGCAGTTCAACATGGACCTGCCTCCCCCAAAAAAAGACCGCCCCCCCTCCCAATTCGACAATTGTGGCGCATTCCGTTTGGAACTCCCTGGACTGAATGGATGGTTCAACACACCCCTTGATGAGGGAGTTATTTTTGTTTAGGCAATGTCTGTGTTTCCCCCATCATCGATCCTTTTAAAGGAACTGATCCCGCTTAGTACATGCCGTGTCTTTTCTCAAGGGATGGATTTGGGCATAGATACATTTAATGACATTACATTACATTGCATTGCATTGCATCACATTACAATACATTACATTACATTACATTACATTACATTACATTACATTACATTACATACACATATACAGATGCAGATACATATGCAGATACATATACATATACATATATGCATACATATACACGTACACATATACATATACATATACACATACACACACACATACATGTACATATACATATACACATACATATGATACACATATGAATATAATACACATACACATACACATTCAAATTCACATACACGTACATACACATGTACCTATACATATACATACACATACATATACATATACATGTACTCATACGCATACACATATCCACATACACATACACACACATACACATCGCATACATCACATACATCAATCACATCACATCACATCACATCACATCAGATCACATCACATCACATCACATCACATACATACATACGTACGTACATACATACATACATACATGTTGTACAACAGTTGTAATACACATACACATACACATACACATACACACATACACACACATACATACATACATACATACATACATACATACATACATACATACATACATACATACATACATACATACATGCATACATACATACATACATACATACATACATACATACATACATACATACATAGATACATACATACATAAATGCATGCATACATACATACATACATACATACATACATGCATGCATGCATGCATACATACATACATACATACATACATCAATACACAAATGCATGCATGCATGCATGCATGCGTGCGTGCGTGCGTGCGTGCGTACGTACATACATACATGCATACATGATGTTACGCAACAATTGCATACGTGTATGCATATATGTATTTAGCGGTCGCTTTATGTAAGTAGTATGTGCTATATGTAAACATGTGCTTGTAGGACAGGGCCTATGATGTCTTTGCTCCGGACTGAGGTGGGTGTGGATTACAAACGTCCGGCGCTCAGAACCAACGAAGTAGGTCTGCCAATTTTAGCTTGGGGGGTTAAAATGAGCGAATGCTGAAGGTCCTTTACTTGGGGAGCTCTTGTTCAGTTTTCGGACTTGTTCAAGAACCTGAATCTTGGTTTGGTCGTGGTTTGGTGTTTGTTTCAGTGTTTGGAGTTGCAAAATCTCAGATCAGGTCAGTGTGGGGCCGCAGAGCAAAGGAAAGGGGACCTCATCACTTAACTTAGTACACACCACCTTGGTTGCTCGGTTCGACCTTTAACCTCCTGACTTGGATGATGAACGCAGCAAGCACATGTTTAGTGTTTTGCCAAGGGTCAAAGACAACCCAACACTCCGACTCCTGAAGACCAACATACGTAGCTCAAACGCTCAAAGCCATCCTTCACGGGTAGTATGTCACTCCCCCAAAGCTTCCAAAGCGTTGGAGCTGTGCTTTGCGGTGGGCAGCTTAGTATGGCATGTTTTTGAAGCTCACAAGGGTTTACCGGAGACCACCCCTGGCAGTGCCTATTGAAGTCCAAATTCTGTGCGTTGCAATTCTCCCTGGTCGATTCCCGAGGAATCCTTCACGTTTTAGGGGAAGCGTCCCCTTAGAATCCGCCGAGTTGCTCATTGCCATGCCGTCATTGCGCACCAAGGACATTGGTGTGGGTGTCATCATGATGCTGCTTGGTGGCACACGAAAGTGACGTAGGCTAAATTCCATTGTGACTATCCCATGTCCAACTCAGTCGTTTTGGAAGATACCCTCTTTTGGCACACACACACACACACACACGTTAGTCGCTGGCACTGCCGCATCGGTTTTTGCATGGGCCCGAAATCAAGAAGGGTTCTTGATTTTGAGGGTGGCAACTGGGGAAGCAACCTGTGGCAAACCCCGGCGCTGAGTTGAAAGGAGAGGGCGGCAACGCTATTGGCTTTAGGGATGGGTCAAACATTTCCTGACCGGCTCGGGGCCCAAGGGCTGGGAATCGTTTCGCTGATGCTGCAAGGAATTCGTTGAATATCGTGTAGCTTCTGTAGAGTTCCTCTGGTATGTCTTGTTCCGAGGTGTGTGCCAGGGTCTGACCGGTTGACTACAGTGTATTTTTTCTTCTTTGTGTTTTTTTCTGAGGATATGTGGGGATGAGGATTCTGGATCATGACCATGGCTTTGCACCAGAAGTTGGGAATGATAACTTGAGTGTTTTTGTGTTCTTCAAATAGGGTATCCAGTTCTGCTTGGTTTAGAAGGAAACCGGGAGGGAAACCACCTTTGCGGGGGGCTCCCCAATTTTGACGCATACCCGTATGTCCCATTCTCTGGTGAGGGGGAGCCCCTTTTGACTGAGAGGGAGGGTCCATCTTTGCCCAGAAATGCCCCAGCAAACCTGTGCCACTTCTCCAAATCCAAACGTAAACTTCAGTTTTTCTCGGGAACCAGACAAATTTAAAAGGGCTCCAAAAAGGTGTTATGCCCGGGTTTGGAGCAGAGTTCCAGCATTTGGCTGCCCCGAAAAGGACTTGATGGGGCTCTTCGTTGGGATGCACACCCTTCGGAGCCACTTTGGCAGGCACTTCCCCCAATGGATTTTCCTCTATTTTTATGCTGCTGGGTCAGTTTGCGTATGTTTGGGAGCCGACGGCGCACACCGTCAGGTTCTTCATGACCCAATCCCAAGCGCTGCCGCACCTGGCGAAGTTCCGACCCACCGCCACCCTGCTGGGCTTCAGAACCGTGTCAGGCCAGGAATGGTCGCCTTCACAGAAGTCCACGGTGGAATTCTCCCGTGTTTCTCTCTGTTTGTCTCTCTCGCTTGGAGGGCTTTCCATCAAAACCTCAACTACCAAGACAGGTTTTGGGAGGGAGGACGAGGTGTGTCTGCGTGTGTGTGTGTGTGTGTGTGTGTGTGGTACACTCAAAGCACGAAGGCACCAACACGAAATGTAGGCCCAACTGTGCGCCGGGCGGGACATTAAGCAAAACCAGACTGGCGAGCTGCTCTGGCGGGACACTGGCGGGATCCACTGGCGAATACTGTGTGTGTGTGTGTATCTTGCTCTGTCGGAGGTTGATTGCAGTAGCAAGTGTTTTTGTTGCAAGGGCGAAGGGGATGTTGTGTTTGTGCTTGTTTTGCCGCACCTTTGCCCTCGGGCAGTTGTTCCCTTACGCCTTTGTTTCATCCCGGCGCTTGCTGTTTCTATATGGTGTTTGCTTTCAGAATCTGCACACAGACTCCTCCTGCGGCATGTGCCTCGACGTCTGGTACAGAGCGCCGTTTTCCTGGTACAGAGCGCATCGCTCGTGCTACTTGCTTTGGCTCACGATTGTCTAGGGCATCAAGAATTCAGATTGGGCACAAGCAGTGCGAGGGATTCAATGGTCAAAGACCCGGGTGCCCGTTTCCCCTACCATCAGACCCAGGTAGATCCCAAGGACCTTCCAGAAAGTTTTCCCTTCAGAGGCCAAGGAGCCTCGAGGTTGATGTCTTGTTCGGTGTGTCCTAAAGTTAGGGATTTGTTTTCGGATGGTTTAGAGGGACCCCAAAAGGAATCAATTTGAAGTGCGTCGGTGTATCTTCTGACCATCTCCCAGGAAGGAAAACAAAGTTGTGCCCTGAACACAAATCAGGGCACTGAGGGAGGGGCTCACCTCATTTGTCCACATCGGGCCAGAAGGTTAGGTACCATGCCACTGATTTCAGCTATGGCATGGCCCTCCGCAGTTTCCAGAACATGTTTTAGGACAGAGGTTTACAAGCCAAGGTGGGAGGTTGTCTAAAACCACAGGCAAGAGAGTTCCACTCACTGACATGCTGAGGGTCCATTGCATTGGGCTAGTGGTGAGTTCTGACCGTTTCTGAACCTATCGTCAATTTGCCATCTCCGCATGACTCAGGTGGGCACTATAATACGATAAATTAATACCATATGTAAATATGTACGTACACTGTGTGTTCGTCTTGCCTTCTTGTGTGCTTGTTGTGCGTTGCTTGTTTGCTTGCTTGTTTGATATGGTTTGTGTTGGTTTGGCGTGTTTTGCTTGCTTGTTTTGCATTGCTTTGGTTTGGTTTCTTTGCTTTGCTTTGCTTTCTTTGCTTGCTTTGATTTCTTTGCGTTGCTTTGCTTTCTTTGCTTGCTTTGTTTGCTTTGTTTGCTTTGCTTGCCTTGCTTGCCTTGCTTGCTTTGCTTGCTTTGCTTGCCTGCGTGTGTGTCTGCCTGCCTGCCTGCCTGCCTGCCTGCCTGCCTGCCTGCCTGCCTGCCTGCCTGCCTGCCTGCCTGCCTGCCTGCCTGCCTGCCTGCCTGCCTGCCTGCCTGCCTGCCTGCCTGCCTGCCTGCCTGCCTGCCTGCCTGCCAGCCTGCCTGCCTGCCTGCCTGCCTGCCTGCCTGCCTGCCTGCCTGCCTGCCTGCCTGCCTGCCTGCCTGCCTGCCTGCCTGCCTGCCTGCCTGCCTGCCTGCCTGCCTGCCTGCCCTGCCTGCCTGCCTGCCTGCCTGCCTGCCTGCCTGCCTGCCTGCCTGCCTGCCTGCCTGCCCGCGCGCTCGCTCGCTCGCTCGCTCGCTCGCTCGCTTGCTTGCTTGCTTTGTTTGGTCGGTTGGTCTTTTGGTTGGCGCATGTGTGCTTGTGTATGAGTGTAAGTCCGTGTTTTTACTTTGCCGCTGCGGACAGAGAAAGGCAGCTCCGAACAGCCTCAACTCCTCTCCCCCGACCAGCCCCCCGAGGGGAGCGACACAAGAGCGGGGAGTGCAACGGCCCAACTAGACACGCATCAAAATCAAACTTTGCCCGCCTGCTGATGAACCTGGAACCCAAACAACCATCACTTCAGGTGTTTCCTTTCAAACCACGTACACCAGGGTGAATGTAGATGGCACAATTCTTTGCACGTGAAGTAAATGGGGGTAAACCAACCTGTTGGAATTGTGCCATCTCTCACCCAACTGCAACCCTTCCACAGCCCTTCAGGCGTAGGTTTCCTTTTTGGTTGTTCTGGTAGGAAAAAATGATGGCCCTGGTTTTCCTGGTGGTTTCATCATCTTCCAGAGAACCCCATCAATTTGCCCCAAATGAACACCTGTGCCGTTGAGGCGTTTTGGTGCCTTACGGCCTGGGCTGCGCCATCCTGGGCGTGGGTTTGGCGGTGCTCCACATGACGGAATGGTACGACCCCTTGAACCCCAGCTGGATCAGCGTGCTGCCCCAGCGCCCCGGCGCGTTTTTTGTTTTTCGTTTTTCAGGCGTCGGACGGGGGACCCACTCGAAAATGTCGACCCCTTAGCAACCCCCGAAAAACCGAGAGGTGGCGAGTGAAACAGGTTGTGCTGACGGCTTTTTGGCACTGGTTTGCAGGGCGCCCCATTTTTTTTTTCGAAATGGAGCGGTCGAACTGGAGCAAAAAAACAGTACCAACTGTTTTAGAGGAGTGAACAAAAAAAGCAGGATTGCAGATGTATCTTCGGGTTTGTTCTGCTCATATGTGGAGCGTTCAAAATTTCAGGCAAGTAGAAAAGCCAGTGGAACTCACACATTTTCCCGTGTCTATTGTGGGAACCGCTATTTTGGCTTCTCGGTGCAAGGATTAGAGGCCCATTGTGAGTTGGAGTTGATATGGGTTGAGGAGGGAGTTGCTGACCGGTAGAAGGACGGAATTTGACCACTGCACATATGATTGCGTTGACAATAGGCCAACCATTCTTGGTTGGTTGACCCGACCAAGGTGGCCTATTGTGTAAACCCTTTTGTCATGACTATATAGTGGAGCTCGAGGTTGTCTTGTTGATCTTTGAACAGGGAAATCGAGGGACCCTTTTTGTGAAGGATTGCTAGACTCTAGAGGAGTCCTTCTACTTTGCTCCTCAAGGGTTCGGAAAGGAAATTGCAGATGAACCCAGGTTCGGTCCATTGGAAAACGACAAGTGGCATGAAGCCCATCATTTTGAATGGTCTTTCATTCCCTCAACAGGTATCCCCACTCTCCCCCAGTGCTTAAAGCCGTCCTGCTGGGAAGACAATCTGGGCTGTTCAAAGGCAATTCTCAATCTTTCCCTTAGGTTACTTAAGGGCTCGAATTAAGGATTAGGATTCACCAAGCCTCCAGTAGACTAAAGTTTTGAGCGCTGACTCTTCAATGCCAGCCAACTTACGGAAAGTGTTTTGCTCGGACACTGCAAGTTTGGGCTTTTACAGAAAGCAATTTGGACTGCTGAAAACGTTGGTTGGTTTCGTAGTTCTTGACTCAGGCTGGTTTCCTTCTAAGATGCGTTTATCTCAAGATTAGGAGACCCACAAACAACCAAATGGTTGCTTTCATTTCACATTCCCTTTCAAACCATCCGAACAAAAGGTGGTTGTATGTGCTCTGTTCTTTTCTGTTCTTTTTCATGTTTATTGACTTTTTACGGAGGGTAAGATCTTACATCTTGGCCTTCACTGAGGATCCTAGTGGAACATGTATTTGAATGTTAGAGGGGTTGAGTCACGTCCAGCCAAAAGTGCAAGACACATGTTGTTCCGCCCGGAGGGGTGGGGGCCCTGTTGGGAAAGGATGACCGAAATGGTGAGCCCTGCTTCATCCGGTGCCAGGCTGTGGATGAACAAGGGCGACAACTACGATAGCATCTCAGCGCAGAGCCAGGGTCAAGGGCCCTCCCCCTAAGCCCACCCAATCCCAATACTGTTGATGGACAATTCCCACACCAGCAGCCTGTTTGTTTTTGCAGGATTCAAATGACAATGGCGCCAAAGGGTATAATAGCGTTCTGGCCATCACGGGAAGGAGCAGAGGGGTGTTCACTGCTGGCCCTCTCGGCTCCACCTGTGAGTTTTGTTTGCAGTTCGGTCAGGCGGTTGGCCCAGACTCTTCCCGGGTTGGTACCCTTATCAAAGTTAACCCTGTTACACTGTTATTAGTGGGCTATTGCCTAGGCCGGCCCACCACTCAGCTTGGCCAAACTTCAAAGCACCCTCGTAGAAGGTACCAAGAGATTTGGCCTCACTCCCCCCACTTCGTTTATCATAAGTCAGGCCCCTGAGTTGGGTATGTCAGACGCCAAGCATGTGCAGGGACGCTGGTTTTGCTTAGGGATATCCAAGGTCAAGCTACAATCTTTTGAATGGTCACGTCGGACTCCGGATTCAAACGTGGGCCACCTTTTTTAGACCCATTTTGTGCCGGGTGTGGACCCATGACATTTTCACCAGCTGGCAGCTGGGTCAAACTCGAGGTGCCATTGGGGTGCTGATCCTCTTCATCGTACTTTCCACCACCGCGTACGTGAACACTTACGGAGGCCTGGATTCGAAAGGTGGACCCAGAAAGGGTTGTGATTCCGACGCGACACGTGGAAACAAGTTTGCATGATATGGCGACACCGGAAGCCAATTGTCGCTGCTTTTCAAAAGTACGCCAAAGAGAAGACCAACCACTTGTAAATTGAGGGGCACCGCCTCAATTGGCGAGAACCTCTCGACATGTTTTGCACCTCTGCATGTCTCGAGGCGACTTCCGCCGCAGCATCTTCCGGAACTATGGCATCAACATCATGTACGCATTGCTTCCTGACCTGCCTTGGACAGATGGAGAGATTCGGGTCTGAAGCAGACAGTGCTTGACTAGAAGGAGGTCGCTGTGATTTTAACTTGAATTTGCGAGTTTGATTTATCAATCTGGGGCGCCCTAAAATGGTTGCTTTCCATGTGGTTCTCGACCCCTTGAAACTCCAACCAAAACGGGGTTGGATGTTGCAGGCGGGGAAACAGCTGTTTGAGCGAAACAACAGAAGCCGGGACCAAGGTCTTGGGGCCCTCCAGGATATTTGCCCTTGTTGCCAGGGCTTTAGCCAGTTTACACTTATTTATCCAGTGTTCTTTGGTGTTTTGTTGGCAGTGGGGGTTGCTTCAGATTAAACCTACCAACCCACAAGGAGCAAGTCGCTTCTTTCCAAATGCTACCATGTCTTTAGAACTTTGCGGGTTCCTTCGGTTTCCCGTAGTTGGTGAAATGCTTTTTTGGCCTCACTTTTGTGATATGAAGGGCATCCCGTTTGGGTCCGGAAAAAAATGCACCTTCTCGTTATGTAAGGGCCGTCCCTTGACTTTCTTTGCAGACCCGAAACAGTGTAAGCTGATGAGGAAAACAACATTCTCGCAGAGGACGTGAACACACATCAGGCCCAAGCTGTTGTCGCAACGGAGTCAGAGCCGATACCCAAACCGATGCCCAACCGATAGCTAACTCATTTGACGTCATGCCGAATCCAGCCAGTTGCCGTGGAGCTGCCAGAATGCACTTTTGTGTACTACAAAGTACTACATTTGCTCTGAACACTGTTTTGACTTCGAGCCGGAGCTGACAAAGTGTAGTTACACTTGTTCTGAAAAGTTGCGACTTTCGAGCTAGAGCTGCCAAATCACTGCAAACCCATGCAGAGAAAACACGATACCAAGCGATGCCAGGGTACAATGTTACAAGGGTTGCCCACAGTTTTTGTGAGCAAATGGCCTCACTGGGTGATGAAGGTTGGATTGAGGCTTAAGGAAGCAACACTCAATCGGGGGTCCCTACTTTAACAAATCAATTCTCCTGGGCCAAGTGCAACACTTGGTCTCATGGAAGCTGACCTGGGCCAATCCCTTCTTTTTGGGCGCTGGCAAGCTGGTCACGGTTTGCCTGTCGACCACCCCCCTAGGCTTCTCTCCAAGATTTGTTGTCCAACAGGCTGCTGGGGTCCACGCTCTTAGTAAACTTAGGGGTCCTTGGAGCCAGTGTCCCCAGCTGAGCTGGGGGTGAACAGTTGCAACTTTAAAGCATTTCTACTCCTAGGCACGACTCCTGGTTTCAGGCTGTTGCCCAAGACCTCACATTGTTCCGCGCTCACTACCGGAGTCAGCTCTACAAACTTCCTGACAATTTCACTTGGCCAGAGGCGCTTGCGTTTGCCAGACAGTCAGACCTCTTGTCCTGGCGGAAAAGGTTTCGACGCTTACTCCAACAGTCCAGACTCAGCTTCCAGCGCCAACCAGACGCAAGCGCGCCACAGTCGTTCCACTGCCCTGACTGCAGCAAGACCTTCCCAACCTGTTATGATGAGCTGTCAGGGCACCGTGCGGTGCAACACAAGCAAAGGTCCGACACTGCCCGTTTTGCTTTTGGCACATCTTGCCCCGCATGCTTGACAGAGTTCTGGAGCACTGACCGGCTGCACTTGCCCCTGACAATCCCCTCACAAAAGCGCAACTGCCTGCAGCTCTGCCAAGAGAACCTCCTGCCACAAGACCCCAGCCACCTCGTCAAGGCACCACCCTGACGGCCTCCGGCGCAGCAACCGCGGCAAGCTTCGCAGCCACCGGGGCGCTTACGGGCGCCACGCTAACGATCACCGGGGCGGCGTCCGCTGGCCCGCTGGACTGCGAGAGCCTGGACTGCACCTTCACGGCCAGCGGCGGAGTGTCGACGGGCAGCGTGGTCTGCGGCGACGTGACGATTCCCGTTGCCTCACCAACCACTTGGGCTCCTGAGCTTTTGACAGCCTGGCTGCGCGGCCTGGATCCTTGGTATCACGGAAAAGACTACTCCGAGACTGCTTTTTGGGCATCTCTTCAGCTGCGGCCAGAAGAAGTGACTGAAGGCGCAAGCTCTTTGCAGCGAACGTTCATCGAGCTCGTTCGTGTATATCAGAACACTTTTGACTACTGGTCCAGCACCGATGCCATCGAGCAAGCAGATACGCTCCTTTAGCCCGTCGCTCTCCAACTCCCTCAAGCCTTGTGGCAGGACGCGCATGGAGACGACCAGCGCACAGCAACAGCGCCCAAGCTGCAAGCTGGCAGACGCAGAAACCCTGCCAAGCAGCGCAGGCGCAGCCAGGAGCGAAGACCGTGTCAGACAACAGGCCCGCGAGTCAGACAACACGAGTCAGACAACGCCAACGCGCGAGTCGGACAACGCCTACGCGCGAGTCAGACAACACTCGCGCGTGGTTGCGGAAGCGCGTTCAGGAACTGCCCCCAATGGGCCGTCGTTGTCTGACACAGCGCTTCCCGTCCGACACGTGGCCTCCACGGCCGACTCGGACCGTCAGGTTCTGACTCGGAGACCTTACTTTGCTAAGTTAGCTCCGCGTCCGCGCTTCTTCTGGCGTGCCCGCCGTCCCATACGCGGCCGACTCGGGCCGTCGTTGTCTGACACGGCGCTTTCCGTCTGACACGTGGCCTCCGCGGCCGACTCGGGCCGTCGGGTTCTGACTCGGAGACCTTACTTCTCCGTGTCCCCGTTTCTCTGGCAACTGCGGGCGCGCGCGGATGCCTTGCAGGCTTTGCGTTGCGCGCCTCCGCGCGGTTCGTCCCCCAGCTTGTCTCCCAGTTTCCTAGCGCATGCGTATGAATTGCAACGCCGCGCTTAGAGCTGCAGGATGCCCTGCGGCGCCACAGCGCAGGATGCCTTGCCTTCAAGAACAGGATTCTTGGTCTTGAAGTGCAAGATGCCCTGCCTAAGTGCAGGATGCCCTGCGGTCCAACGCAGGATGCCCGGCCAGCTTGGCGCTGCGTGAAAAGCAGCAAAAGAAGCTGCAGCGGTCGCTGGCTCGCCAGCAGCAGCCCGCAAGGTGGGGTCGATGCTTTTTTTGTGCCAGGGCATTGCAGCCCGTGCTGAGTCTTCAGGGTCCAATTTTGAAGTGCGGGCGGAAAAAGCCCAAGTGTCCGTACACTCGATCGATGAGTGTGCAACAATGGGGGCGCTTGCCAGCAAGTTGGCAGCGCGCTTGGCCACGCAGTTGGTCCAAGGTCTTCTGGGGGATGCGCCCGAAAAGGGCTGTGACAGTCTAGGGGTTGCTGGCGTCGCACAAAGCAGGGCGATCCGGAGTCATTGCTTCATGCTGACCGTGACCTGCAACTGATTTGTGTTGTGAGTTGCCTTGCTTGCCTTGCAGCGCTCTTGGCCCGAGAAGTGTTTCAGCCACTTGTCAGTCTTGGCTGCCGCACATGTCCGTCCAACTTGACACGCAGCACGTCATGGCTTTGGTGGGTGGGATGCAGGCTGCGCTGGCTGCTCACCGTGGCCGGCATGAGGAGGTCACATACGGCAACTTCACTCCCTTGTGGCATCTGGAGCAGTGCTTGCGCATCCAGTACAGCCTCTGCCGCCACGTTGGAGGGGAGCAGTCCTCTACCAACCTGGACACCGTCACCATTCTCATGACAGTGATCTACAGCCTCCGCCGCTGTGAGCACTGGAAAGTGACATGCTCCTGGCCTGACCTCCAGCCTCCCTGTGAAGGCAATAATCCCGTGTCCTTTCGCACACAACTGCAGCTGACCTGGGGGGCATCCTGGCGAACGCACGCAGAGACCTTGGAGCCGCTGCTTGTGTCCTGCATGAACCACGTGCAAGAGTATGAGCCAGTGTATGGGCGGTCTCGCAGCATGGGCTCCTTGTTCAAGGCTTGGCACGCGTTCTCCGACGACATGCTGCTGATGCTGCGTGGGTTTGCTGGGTGAGCCTTGGCCGTCTCACACCGGGTAGCTGCAGCTTGAATGACATGGCCGGTGACGAAAAAGTCAGATTTGCAAGCAGCCGACTCGGGCCGTCGTTGTCTGACACGGCGCTTTCCGTCTGACACGTGGCTTCCGCGGCCGACTCGGGCCGTCGGGTTCTGACTCGGAGACCTTACTTCGCTAAGTCAGCTCCGTGTCCCCGTTTCTCTGGCAACTGCGGGCGCGCGCGGATGCCTTGCAGGCTTTGCGTTGCGCGCCTCCGCGCGGTTCGTCCCCCAGCTTGTCTCCCAGTTTCCTAGCGCATGCGTATGAGTTGCAACGCCGCGCTTGGAGCTGCAGGATGCCCTGCGGCGCCACAGCGCAGGATGCCTTGCCTTCAAGAACAGGATTCTTGGTCTTGAAGTGCAAGATGCCCTGCCTAAGTGCAGGATGCCCTGCGGTCCAACGCAGGATGCCCTGCCTTCAAGGCCAGCATGCTTGGTCTTGGAGTGCGGGATGCCTTGCTTAAATGCACAAGCGCGGTCCAAAACCTGACACGGAAAGAAAAAAACAACGCAAACAGAAGCAGACGGCCTCAAACAAAACCACGCAGAGCCTGCCGATCCAAAACAGCCCAACAGCACGGCGGCGCCGCACAGCAAACCACACGGCATGAAGCAACTGCGGGCGCGCGCGGATGCCTTGCAGGCTTTGCATTGCACGCCTCCGCGCGGTTCCTCCCCTAGCTTGTCTCCAAGTTTCCTAGTGCGCGCGTATGCATTGCGACGCCGCGCTTAGAGCTGCAGGATGCCCTGCGGCGCCACAGCGCAGGATGCCTTGCCTTCAAGAACAGAACTCTTGGTCTTGAAGTGCAAGATGCCCTGCCTAAGTGCAGGATGCCCTGCAGTCCAACGCAGGATGCCCTGCCTTCAAGGCCAGCATGCTTGGTCTTGGAGTGCGGGATGCTTTGCTTAAATGCACAGGCGCGGTCCAAAACCTGACACGGGAACAAAACCTGACACGGAAAGAAAAATCCCGCAAGCAGAAAGCAGACGGCCTCAAACAAAACCACGCAGAGCCTGCCGATCCAAAACAGCCCAACAGCACGGCGGCGCCGCACAGCAAA